ATAAAGATGAATTGGTTTTCATATGCGGAAATACATTCAAGGTATGATGAAGATTTTAAAACAGAGGGATTTTATGATCAATTGACTGATTTAGATAAGATTTTGACAGGTACTGATGAAAGGTGATTAAAAAATTATATGGTTATTTATTGGAAATTAAACTAGAGGAAGAACAAGTTAAAGAAACTATGATTGCTTGGGGGAAGAATTTTGGATATGGGATTGATTTAGAGAAATGGCAAAAATTGTGGTCTCAAAATTATAAAATGACAATGTCAACAGCATATAAAGAAAATTTGTATAAGATGTTTTACAGGTGGCATTTCCCCCCAACAAGAATAGCAAGAATGTTCAAGAATAAATCCGAAAAATGTTGGAAATGTCATCAGACACCTGGCTCATATTACCATATGTGGTGGACTTGTGAGGACACTAGAAAATATTGGACTAAAATTCGCATGTGGTTGATAAAAATGACAAAGAAACACATAGACTTGAAACCAGAGATTTTTTTATTGGGAATTTTACCTGATACATATAGTAAAGATTTGAAATACCTGATTGTAAATGTATTAACAGCAGCTAGGATTCTATTTGCTAAAAATTGGAAAAATGAGAAAATACCATTGCAGGAGGAAATCATTAAGAAAATATTGGAATGTGCTGAAATGAGTAGATTGACATTTGAAATTAGAGAACAAGAGGATAAACAATTTTATAAAATTTGGGACCTTTTCTATCAATGGTTAGATAATAAAATACAATAATAGAATATCTAGAACTTCAGAAAATAATGAATATATAAAGATAAATTTCTTTTTTTGAAATCATATTTATAAAATGTTTTTAGGATAGATTTGGTAGGATTATATGAATTCTTATAAAATAAATTAAGTAAATTATAGTTATCTTGCAAAATATGAATGAATAAAATTATAGTCAAATGATTGTTTAATAGTGATACTAGGGTATTTAATCTTTGATTGATAATATGTGTTATCATGCAATGTAACTGTAATTGAGACTATGAAATGGATGCACAAAAAACTGGTAAACCAACCGACACACTGTATATTTATGAAAGAAAGCTGGATGTTTTTATGTTTTGTTTGTTTTTGTTTTTCTTTAAAAACCAATAAAATTGTTTTTTTTAAAAAAGCTATAAGCTCAGCTGCTTGGGTGCTGTGGGAGGGAGGAAGTGGGGAAGCCCAGATGATTTCTTGTAGGGATACTACAGCTGCTCCTGTTACTCTTTTGTTCTGGTGCATGTAGGAGAAACCATCTGTGAAAAGTTCAATGTCGGGGTTTTGTAGCGAGGTATCTGTTAAATCAGAGCGGGGTAGTTCAGCGTCATGCACTAAATGGAGGCAATCATGGAGATTGCCTTCTTCCTGTTCTATGGGGAGCAGGGTAGCTGGGTTTAGAGTATTACATCTTTCAAATGTAATGTGATCAGAGATAAAAAGTTCAGCTTCATATTGAGCCAAACGCTACTGAGTAAAGGCTTGTGTCTGGCTCTTTAAGAGAATCGCAAAAACTTCATGGGGGACTTTTAGCAATAGTGGATGTCCTAGTACCAAATCCTTAGATCGTTTTACCAGTTCGACTGTAGCTGCCACGGCTCTTAAGCAGGGGACAGCCCCTTGAGCTACCAGATCTAGGGTTGCAGAATAGTAAGTGACTGGTCGATGTGTGTGTCCAAAAAGTTGTGTCAAAATGCCAGAAGCAACACCTAATTTCTCATGGATGAATAAGGTAAAAGGTTTCCTATAGTCAGGTAGCCTGAGTGCTGGGGCTGATGCCAGGGTTTGTTTTATGGTCTGGAGTGTTTTGTCCAAAGGTTTGGACCATTCAATGGGGTCAGGCATATTTTTGGCTGTTAGTTGAATGAATGGTTGGGCTAATTCTCCAAATGAGGGGATCCATGAGCGGCAGAAGCCCAGTGCTCCCAGCAAGGCTCTGACCTTTCATTTTGTCTGGGGTGGTAGAAAAACGCCCACACAGCATGAATAAACAAGATGACACCTCCCGCCTACCAGCCATTTGGAAACCCGCCCTCATGAACAGATGAGTACCTAACATGAAGAATGACACCAGACCCAGACCCACGAGGGCCACGCAAGATGCTACCACCACACTTCCACGTAGAAAGCAGACTCACACCCACACAGAAGATGAGACATGACCACAGACCAGAAGCCGCACTGCAGCTGCATCACTACCCGCTTCAAACCCCTCTGACCCATACATCAAGCGAACTGATGCCCACCATGAAGATGCAACACGACCACAAACGTGAAGCCAAACATCAGGATCACAGCTCACCAGCTCAAATCCCCCAGCAACTAAGACTAACCTGAGCACAACCAAGACCCCACCTGAACAGAACACCCCCCCCAGCCAATCAGAACACAGCCAACCACCCAACCAATGAGAACACAACCCCACCCAATCAGAACACAGCCAAGCCCCCACCCAATCAAGTCACACCCCCACTAGCAGTTAAAAGGAAGAAGCAGCTGCAAGCTCACATTACCCTGAGAAGCACAAGCCGAAGACACAAGCCTGAAGATGATGAATGAGACTTCATCGAAACATTGCCTAGATACTTCCAATTTTACGTGGGAGAAAGCCCGAATAACCAAAGATCCACATACAAATACCCACGAGAACCTCTAAACACACACACACACACAAACACACACATATATACCATATATGTAAGTACCCGCGAAAACTTAAGAAAACATATGTATGTATGTATGTATGTATGTATGTATGTATGTATATATGGTGTTCAGCTTTGTTCGGGTATTTTCCCACGTCATTATAGTTGTGCTTTTAAAAATGTAGCAATGTTTCGGCAGAATCTCATCTGCCATCATCAGGCTTCTGTATTGTGTTCGTCTGTGAGTCAGACTTTTACAGTTGTTTCAGTTTTAAATTTGGGGCTAGCCTACTGCTGTGCCAGAATGGTTTTTTCTTCCTCCTGATTGTTTGGGAGTCTTGGTCTGTGTTTATTGGTCTCAGAGTTTGCTGTGTTCTGCTCGATTAGTGTTTCTAATATCTTCTGTCTGTTTTGTGGCTTTTTTTGTGTCTTGATTGGCTGGCAACATTGGGTTCCTGTATTGGAGGCTTTTAGTGCAGCTTGGTTCCGCATAAATGGACGGCTATCATTTGTTAGAAAGCTAGGTTTCATCTGGGTGCCTGGTTGTGGTGTGTTTGAGCTGGAGGTATCAGGGGGGATCTGTTTGTGCCCAGGTGTTTGCCTGGCTTGTGGTGTGGAGATTTTTTTGTTTGTGAGTGCAGGCTTCCAAATGATTGACAGTCTGGTGGAATCATCTCTTCTATTCATGCTTTCAGGTCTTTTTTCAATCTCTATGGCTTCTCTGATAATTCTGTGGCTGGGGTTTTCTATAGTGGCTAGGGTTTTGGTGCCATTAAAGTTGATGCTATGACCTGTGGCTTTCATTTGTTGGACTAATGAGGAAGTGTGTTCCAGCTTTTTTACTGCATTTTTGTGTTCATCCAGGTGGGTACTTATTCTTCTATTGGTCTGTCCAATGTATGTGGCCGGGCATGATGCACAGGGAACTTTGTATATGCCTTGGTTTTCCAGGTCAATTTTATCTTTGGGGTTTCTAAGGATGGCTGCTATTTTTCTGTCTCTTTTGAAGGCAGTCTTGATGTGATGCCTGTGTAGTATCTTACTAATTTTGTACAAACCTTTGTAGAAATTTGAAATGGGACAAGTTAAAATGCATGATAAAATGGACTAAGAATTTTGGTTATAACATACAAATAGATCAATTGGAGATGGTGGTCAAAAGATCTGAAATTCACACTACCTTAGAATTGGAAAAGATTTTTTTTATAAGGTGTTGTACTGTTAGTATATGACACATTATCTAAAATACATGAAGGCACTTCTAACTGCTGTTGAAAACATGGAACCATAAAGGAACAGTTTACCATGCATGGAAGGTTCGTGAAATAGTGAATATGCAGAGAATTAAAAGAATAATATTCTGATGAAACTAGAATTTTTCTTATTAGGACTTATGAATAGCCAATTACAAAAAACTCATGGATGATTGGTTTTATACTTGCAGGGAGCAAAAATGGAAAAATACAGAGATAGTCACAATGGCGGGATGAATCACAAAGATGGTAGAACTTTCAGAAATGGCTAAATTGACATATTTCATTAGGGAAGGAAGAACTATCACTTTATAAAAGACTAAAAACTCCTTAAAGGCTTATTGCTCAAAATGGATAAAAATGAACTTGTGATTTCTGGATTTACTGGTTAAAAAGACTAAATTGGGGGAAATGGAACTATATTATGTAATTTTGAGAGGGAATGATATCAAGTAATTATTGTAAAAAAAGGTTGGAAACAACTTTGTTTAGTCTTTTTTTCATTTTCTTGGCTTTCTATTATTTTCCACACTTTTGTCTATACCTCTTTCATTACTATGTCTTTTTACTATTTTATATATATATATATATATAAAGTCATCATTTGGATAGCTATCATTTCATCTCCAACTTCCGTATCTGCATTTCTTCTGATCTGGGTTCAGGGATGGAAGATACAGTGTCTGTTCTTATGAATGACCTAAATGGGATTAGGTAGTGAGAGAACACCCTCTGCATTCAGAAGGAAGACTTTACAGTGCCTTTTCACCTTCTGAATAGTGTGGCTCCAAACAGGGATATGTTACTTCAAGGGGAATCTGTCTGCCCATTACGTGTAAGCCAAGAGAAAAACTCTGGGTTCACATCCTTGGAAAAGACAGGTGAAAACCTGAAGGCTTCTTGGTTATAGCTTGCCATCTCAAGTCAGGATGAGCGCTGTCTATGTTTTAGGAATATAGCCTCCTTCAAATGCATGAATAGGTGACATACACAAACCTGTGCAAATGAAATCATAAATAAACCGCTGTGCCTTTGTGAAATGTGCTAATTAGTTTAATTTTAATGCTGTTTTCTTCAAATCTCATTTTCCATATTAGTTTAATTCTCTAATTTTAATTTTAGATCGGATATAATTCATCATAATTGACATGAATAACAGTGTGAAAGAAAATATTTACAATGCATTGATGGAACTCACTGAGAACCAATTTAAACTTTTTAAATGGTGGCTAAATTATATTGGATATAATGGAAAGAAAAACATTCCTAAAATTTCACTGGAGGAAGCTGATCATCAAGACGTTGTAGACCTCTTGTTTCAATATTATGGAGAAGATGCTCTAGAGGTGTGCATTGATGTCCTTAAAAAATGCAACAGAAATGATCTTGCAAAAACACTTGAAGAAGCTGAACAGAAAGGTAAGAAAACCCAACATATTACAGAAATAGCAATAGTATTTAGACTTATATACTGCTTTACAGTGCTTTACAGCTCTCTCTAAGCTGTAAGAGTCAGCATACCATGCTGTACAACTCTCTAAGAGTCAGCATATTGCCCCCAACAATATGGGTCCTCATTTTACCCACCTCGGAAGGATGGAAGCCTGAGTCAACCTTGAGCCTGGTGGGATTCGAACTGCCAAATATAAGGCAGCTGGTAGTCAGCAGAAGTAGCCTGCAGTACTGCACTCTAACCACTTTGCTACCATGGCTCATGTTCCCTCCACTTGAGATCAAGTGGCAATTAAGAGCCATTATCATTTCTTTGCCAATGAATCTTGCTTATCCGTTTAGCTGTTGGTGGTTAGGATCAGCAGTGACTCCCTGGGATTTCAGAGCGGGACTTTCCTTCTAGTCTGAGACTCCATGTCTTGAGCTGGGAATCAAACCAAAGGGAAGGATCTCTACTGTCACTCAACTTGGTATTTTCCTATCACTCTCAAAGTAAACGGATAGGCCAAGTTTAAGCCAAAGATATTAGTACATTGATCTAAATTTAAGGGAGATCTTTAAAAGTTTAATTTAATCTATCCTTTTTTCCAGCACCCTTCCTGACCTAATACGGTATCTTAAGGTATCTTATAGGTAGTGATGCTATTCACAGCTGGGATTCAGCTGGTTCTCACCAGTTCACCCAAACTGTTAGTTAATTGCTTAGGCAGTTCGGAGAACCGGCTAAAAGTAAAGTGTAAGAGAGGTTTTTCTCTCTCTCTTCCCCTTCAGTTAATAGTTCCGGGAAGACAGCCAAGAACCACTTAACGGTTGCAGCTGGAATGCAGCCACACATGCTGAATCAAGTCAATAAACAACAGAAACTGACAATTAGGGCAGGGAAACCCATCAATCGCCCATCTAGGGATGGGATTAACCTCTTCCCTTGAGGAAGAAGGACAAGATTACAAATATTTTCATTATAAAGAGTATTAAGTAATACTTGGGTGATCAGCTGATACTCCCTGGAGTTCCCCAAGATCTTTTATAGCTGATGCAGTATTGGCTACTTCTTGTTTCTTTCTGGGGGAAAAGATACAGGAGGGGACAATGATGCAGCTTGATCACACAGGCCATGAATTTAATATATGTGTGGTCCAGCCAGCTATATTGCTTCTGCTGTGAAGCACCCAATTTTAGAACCCAGAGAACATAGAATAATAGAGTTGGAATTGTTAGTGGCTTTTGGCAGCCCACCCAGGTTTTCAATTAGTTTCCCTCTCAGCTGCTGCATTTGCTTTGGGGTTGACTTTTTTTTAAAGGGGAATGGCTGTTTTAAATTTTATGCATTGTTTTAGTGGTTCCTGGCACTGTCCTTTTAGGGTGTACTTCCCTCACTCTTTTTGAAAGCCTCTAGTGATGGAGCACCCACATTTTCCGAAGACAGGATATTCCATTGGTTGATTGGTCTCGCCCTTAGGAAATTTCTCCTTAGTCCTAGGTTCCTTCTCTCTTTGGTTAGTTTCCATCCATTGTTTCTTATTGTGTCTTTTGGTGCTTTGGGAAATAGACTCCAACATTTTTGTAGGAGCCCCTCAAATTTCCTGACAGAACAATTAATCAGTGGAACAACTTGCCTCCAGAAGTTGTAAATGCTCCAACACTGGACGTTTTTAAGAAGAGATTGGATAACCATTTGTCTGAAGTGGTGTAGGGTTTCCTGCCTAAGAAGGGGGTTGGACTAGAAGACCTCCAAGGTCCTTTCCAACTCTGTTATTCTATTCCATTCTAAATATTGGAACAGTGGTATTTTATTGTGAGTTGGACTAAGGAGAAATTTCCTAAGGGTGAGACCAATCACGTTGGCCAGGCCCACCTGCTCACATGACCATCCAGCCACGCCCACTCAGTCATTAGGGCAGAGAACCAGTTGTTAAATTATTTGAATCCCACCACTGATGCTATTGTTGCTACTAGAGAAGAGAGCAGGGCATGTAATGCTGGGTAGAGTCAGAGAACAAAGAAGGGCAGCATTTTCTTAATTCCTTAAATGAACTATCAAAATGAAACATTTTAAAACTATATTTTTTCTTCAAATATATATTGAGACAAAATCTCCTACTTTTATGTATATTTTTAATGCTTAAAACAACCAGCAAAAAAACAACAACACATACACTCATGGAACAATGACTGACATTATTGTGGTAAGCCATATGTGTTCAGTGTATGTGCTTACGTCCAAAGAATACCTAAATTATAAATGTATTAAATGTAAACTCCATGAACTACTAGAAGAAAAAGCAAAGGAACTAGAGGCAACTCTAGCCAAACTCCAACCTACACCAGAAGGCTGTATCCAAATTGAACCAAATTGAACAAACAAACTCCTAGAGGAATTGACCCTGTGGCTAAACCTTTGGAGGAAGATAAATGGAGGCATGTCACACACAGAAGGAAACATGGCAATCAAAGAAAGCAACATACATGTAACAAACCGCTACTGCCCAATTTTATCAATACCAATGTAGCCCCATTACAGCTGAGCAATCAATTTCTTCCCCTAGATTAAAACATGCAACCTCCTCACAACCTCCTCGAGTCCCCCTCAAAAATATCCAGAAACCTAGAAAAGTATCAGAATTAATCCTTTTTACTGTGATACATCCTTTGCAATGAAACAAAGATCATCCACAAATGCCAATAGTTGGCAATTCCCATCTTCTAACTTTCCAGTGTATATGCAACCATCAGCCTTGCAACTCTTGAACCCAAGACCTTTCAATGCAGTATCTAAACATATATTCCAATTCCTGGCTCTCTGCTTCAGCCCATAAATGGCCTTGTTCAATTTATACACAGTGTTAGGCTTTTTACTTTCATACCCTGGTGCTTGAACCATGTAAATTTCTTCCTCTAATTCTGCATTGAGGAATGCAGTAGTTATGTCAAAATGCCAAATTTGATGGCCATATGCTGCTGCCAATGCTAGTGCCAGCCTGATGCTTTCACTCTTTACAGTTGGTGCAAATACCTCATTATAGTACACATTTTTCATCTGTGAAAACCCTTGTGCCACTAACCTTGCTTTATATTGTATCTCATTATTGGGTAGTACTTTCTTCTTATATACCCACTTACATCCTGCAGCTTTGCTACCCTGTGGCAAAGTCATAGATGTGAACACTATATTCCATGGATTTCATTTTCTTGTCCATGGCTTCTTTCCGCTTTACTTGTCCAATTTTAGGTAATGCCAATACTTCCTTATAGTTTCTTGGCTCATACCATACATTACACACTTTAACAGAATAGCTAACACTCTAGCAGAATACCTGTCAGGTGGAATTCCTTTGTGCCATTGCTCTGACCTGCATGGGTCTGACTGCTCCTGTGCTTCAACCCTCTCTTGCTTCATATTTTCTTCAGCTTCTCCTCCCTGAATGCTGACACTGTCACTAAGTGAGTTACTATCACTGTGAGTTACTGTCACTAAATGGATCACTGCCACTAAGTGAATCACTCCAAAAATTTGCATCAATTCTGTTCCAATTTTGCTCTGCAAAGCTTGCAGACCTTGCAAATACTATTATCTTTCTCCCATTGCTAAAGCAATAGCTTTTTGAGCCTGGCTCACAGTCCATAAACCTGAGGTTTCTAGCCTTTGGTTATCCTTTTCTTCTAATTGATTTTTGGAATATGCACCCATGCATTACTTCCACAAACCCTTTTTTTCCATAAAAGGTTTTTATTTTTATTTTTTACACATCTCTTCACATGAGCAACATGATTCCAGATTACAACATTTATACATAGTCATAATTACATTTTCAACTTTCTTATTTAATATCACATCACATTATTATCCACTCCACTAATCTTTAAATAAGTTTCCATTTCATATTTCAATTCATTAATTCAATTTCAAAATCATTTCATCCTCACATATATTTTCAATTCTTTACCCCCCTATTATTTCCATTTTCAGCTTACCCTCTATTTTATTTTACGTTGTACATTGTTATCTTCATTAACTTTCTCAAGACCAATATATAGTAAAGAATAAAAAACAGTAAAAATAAAGTAAAATTAATCTATCTAGGATCCTCATGGTATATCCCTCAATCTACAATGTATCTTATATTTATTCCAGAGATGTTTATATAACCATTTCATATTTTTTCAGTTTCCACTTAGCCAAAGTTTACCCTTATAATTTTAATAAATTTTCATTCCCCTACTTTTAATTATAATATGATACTCTCATTATAAATATTTTACATTCCGATATGATCCCTTCTGATTCATCATACTTTTTATTTTCTCATGTCCTTTATATAATCAATTACATTTTCTATTTCATGTATAAAATGAAGAAAGAAGAGAAAAACGGAAGATTAAGTTTCCCTTTCTACTTCCTCTTAACCACTTTTGACCTGTAAAGTTTTGCCCAGTTTATCATAATGTCTGTTTTCCTAATGTCATTTAAATAATCAATTACATATTTTAGGATATGTATATATAAAAAAGAAATGATTAATAACAACAGAGCCCTCTTAATGTCTCTCACTCCATCTTCACTTTTCTCATATATAGTTATATAATACTCTTAGGGTAATTCCCAATAAATTTTAAACTTCAAATCTCCCCAATCTACATTGCTAATAAAAAATACCAAAATACATTCCCATGTGGTATCCCCTTTTTATACTATGTCTAACCCTTATCTCTAAATCTCTTGGCCTTGTCATTTCTCTTAGTTTTAACCCTTAACCTTTTCTAGGTTGTCCCGGTCTTTCCTCTTTATCCCTCTTTTTTCCTCTAATATTATTTTTATTTCCATCTGCCAGTCACCCATCTTTCCCTCCGCCCTTTCCTGTTCTCTTTTTTGAAGTTTCTTGTACGATTTCTTCTTTTGTTTAATCCTGGGAGCGTTTTATTTATTACCTCTGTCATCAGTGTCATAATTTTGGTTCCTTTAATATCTT